GAGAGGAGAGGATAGGAGAGGAGAGGAGAGGAGAGGAGAGGAGAGGAGAGGAGAAGAGACGAGACGAGACGAGACGAGACGAGACGAGACGAGACGAGACCAGACGAGACGAGAAGAGAAGAGAAGAGAAAGAAGAGGAATCACGTGGTATCAGGGCTTGGCCTAACCCTCTCCCTCCAGCCACTAGGCTCTCACCTTTCTGGAGCCCCCTCCCAAATCTTGGACCAAAGAAAATAAACATTTTGCAGAAAAAAAAAGAGAGAGAATCTTGCATAGCACTCATACTTGATAGGTTTTCAAAAAGTGTTATTGCATAAATAAAGGAATGTGAAGCCTGGAAATTATAATCTATATAATTTGTCATATAAACTGGAATTGGACTATTAGAACTTACATGATCCTGGTGAGATGCTTCACACTGTGATCCACAGATCTATAAGGATTGCCTAGGTCTGACAAAGACAATAGAATTCAGACCTATATCAGAGACAATTTTTGACCAATCTTAGAGCATGCTGGTCAACTGTCTGAATGACTAATTGCATGAGCGTGGTGATATGGAAGTCTGAACTGGCCTCAGTCTTCATGTCCTGCCTTGAAACATGTAAGGAATTTTAAAGGTGTCATAGGTTAGGAAGCAGAGAAAGGAACATGTCTGGAATTCAGTATATAAAGTTTTATGACCTTGCATGAATATGTAATCATTCTGGGTTCTTTCTGAATGCAATCTTTTCTCTTCCCTTCCAGTTTCTCTTCTTTCTTCTCTCCCCACCCCTTTATGCTACTTAAACAGGGAAAACAATATTATACATTATGAAAGTTAGGCATTTTAGAAACAGTTCCTTCTGACAGTCATGTTTAAGTGGCTGCTATATATAAAAGCGTAACCAGGCCTCTTTTGTTTTTGCCTAACTACAGATAAGAAAAACATTCCATGCAATGCAAGTAGTTCATTCTGTTCAAAGTTCTAGGAAAGCTATTTATTTAAAAACCACATGTCCTGTCTTCAGAGCAGAAGCATCACGCAGTTAAAGCCTCCCCACAGAACGCTGGCCATCTGGGACTGCTGCCACATGCCACATGCTGCAGAACCTCCCTGGCAGGAAGACAGGGCACATGACAGTGGACTGCTCTTCCTCAGCTGCTGGGCCATGCTTTTCCCAAAAGGATTATTCAATTAGCTGGCTTTTTCTGGCTCACTCTTCACAAAGGATGAAACAAAAACAACAGAAAAGATGTAAAAGGCTGCTAGCACCTGTGCTCTTCATGTATTGAGACTGAGGAAAACAGAAGCATTGGAAGTCCCCATGGCACATGGAGGCGACACAATACCGGGAAGCCAAAGAGAGTCAGTCAAAAGGAAGTGTTTCCAGTAGCTTCAGTGCTAAGATGAGCTATGCTTGCTAAGAAAAGAAAGAGCTGGAAGGTGTACTAACTTCTCATTGCAGAGTTGTCCTGACACGCAGCAGATTGATTCATGTTAGGAGGGTGCTGCAGGAGAAATTCTGTTAGGTTTTGTTTAAATTTTTTCTTTAAATAATTATCCATATATAAGCGACTCCAACGAAATTATATTGAACCTACAGGGTCTGGCTAAATGATCTATATACTAATTTCCTAAACAAATTATCCAGAAAATATAATATTTCTAAGATTTTGTTTACCAACAAAATAGTATTTAATCTCAACATATGTGAAGTTTGATTTTTTTAAATGGTAATTTTTATAAGCATTTTAAAGTAAGCTCTGTTAGTGCAAGCCAGTAAAATTTCATTCTGTTACTGAAGAGAGTGATTTGAAAATTCCTTGTAGAGAAGGAACCCTACAAAAGAAGAGGAACTCATACGTCATAGAAAATAGCAGTTACAAGGTCTTACTTTGGGCTGAGGGAGCACAGGCTCTTACATTACTGTCATCTAGAGATTGCTTTTTAGGTCTCTTTACAGAGTGAAAAGCATTGCATTAAATTTCTCCTTAAAAAATGCATCCTCCTCCCGCCTTCTCCTATGTGTCTAGGTGTCCCTCCAAAGCTGCATGCAATCATAGCTTCATGTGGCCATACATAGCATATTTTC